GATTTAAACAAAACTTGGCATACAACATCCGCTCATAAGATGATTATGTGTTCATGAAAATATTTCCCATGATTCAAGTGGTTTTGGCGGCCATGTTGGATTTATCACAAAAATGCAAAAAACCTCAAAAAATTATCTTGTTAAAAACTGCTTGCTTGTTTGAAAAGCAATTTAGCATATAGTATCTCTGTTGATAGCTCTATATCTTGGATATAGTAAAAAGTGAAATTACGCTATAACTTATGAACAATTTGCCAGATTGACACCATAGTTGGCATACAAGATCCCTTCAATAAGATGATTATGTGTTCATAAAAATATTTCCCATGATTCAAGTGGTTTTGGCGACTATCTTGAATTTATCAAAACAATGCAAAAAACCTCAAAAATTATCTTCTTAAAAATTGCTTGCTTGTTTGACAAGCAGTTTAGAATATGGCACCTATGTTGATAGCTCTACAAAGTTTTTGAAGCAGATTTTTGAAAAATGACTTCTTTTGGCAGCCATCGTGGATTTAGTAAAAAGTGAAATTACGCTATAACTCATGAACAATTTGCCAGACATTAGACAGATGACTATAAATGGTTATGTCTGTTGATTCCAGTGTGGTTCATAATAGCAAAATACCAGAGGGCTTGTTAGGAACATTGCATTTTAGACATGAAACGTTCGTCAAATAATCACATCAAGCAAGTGCAATTTGCCATGAGCCATGCAGGCTCGAAACCCGTCATTGCTGCTATGCAGCTATATTTGTTATTAAATTCCATACATGAGCACAATATTGAATATAAGCGTGGTATAATGAGGTTATCATATGTTGACAAGAGATCATCGACGTAGTGCTGAACAAACTACTATTGTGAAAACTTCCGTTCAATTTCTTCATATTCACTTTGTTTTACGCGCATTTACGTAATTGACTAACTTTGTCATTGCCTTCCGTGTATCTGACATTTCCCCCTTTTTCTCGTTATCAGTTGTTACGTCATAGGCAGTAACACATTGCTGCAACACGATCAATGCTTCCTGAATTTCCGACATGTTTAGAGTAGAGTCATCTGCTTGTTGCTGCACAACGTTCTTTTGTTTCGATACATCTTGTCCTAATTCAATCTCCTCATAACAACCAGGTCTAGGAGTATTAACAGAATCCATCTCTTTTTTATTTTTATCGTCGTGATAATTTAAAGCCTGGTATGCATTGTTAACGCCGTCAGTTGTGATAAGGTCCTGATATGTACGATCATTACTTTTATCCAAGTTTGTAATTTCTCTTTCCTCGGTCTGGGTAGATTTGAGTCTGTTGGATAAAGTGACAATGATGAACTGACATTAAGTTCATTGTATGACGTTCCAATTTGTTTATATTTAGACATATAGGGATCCTTTCATTCTAATACTGATAGTTTCTTCAAGATGAACATGTACTTGATAGATACAGGGTCAAATGTTGTTTACAGTAACAAAATGTTGTTTGATTACGTCAGTAGCAGTGCAGGTTCGTTCAAAGTTCTTGCAAGTTGCGCACCGTCAATGACTCATGTTTAATCAAATTTATTCAAAGGGACTACAAGTTTCCAAGAGTTCACGTTTATCGGCTTTATACCAATTGGATACGTGGAAGAATATTTTAGTTGTTTGTATAATAACCAATTGCGAACGAGGATGACAACATGGCGGATAATTATGACGTATTTAGACAATAATTCCACGTCACACAGAAACTCACAAATTGTCTGTTATAATTGGTATGATTGACTCAACAATGCAACTTACCTTGCTCTTCTATACAACAATACCAACGTTACTATGACTACTGCCATGACGACAATAACAATACCAAAGCCTACATACACACCCGGATTAGCACCTGCAATATTTTAGATATGGTATTGTCGAATAAGTGTAAGCGGTCAAACGTTTGGATTTAGGGGGAGACTAAAAGAGTGTGACCAGTAATTGTTTTTATTCGCGTTGTCTCGTCTGTACATTTTTCTGCAACACCATGCATGAATTGTTTTCTCTCTCTGTGTCTAGCTTGGAATTTTTCAAATCTTCAAGCCAGCCCTATGATTTCAAATGGTCCACCGATGCCACATAATATTGTTATCACAATCACATCACGTATGCACATTTGAATCACATGACATTCCAGTATTATTTAAGATAAACAATTTGCAGGTTTATGATAGAATTTTATAAATACAATTCTGTATTTTTGAGACACATTCCTGGTAATCACGTAATGCACCAGGTATTGCAGGCATTAGCTGATTGCATGTTTACTCTACCACGCCGTAAAGTTTTATTGAAGAGAATAGACAGCGTAGCGCGACCTCAGCCGACCGTTTAGATGAATAAACTATCTGTAATGAACTAAGATGTATTGCCTTGGGTATAACAAGTTATCTTTACAGTGTAATCGTCAACAGCCATGTGGGTCGATGTCCCTATCATTACGCTCTTTTCGTAATATTTGGTGAACCCGGATTTAACAAATACTGGCATAAAGACATACATGTATATCATAAACATATTGTATGTATGTAAATCTCTCGTTTAGATTTGATAGTCGTTTTACCTTTCTGATTGCATTGTTCTATCTTCTCCTCATTTCCATTTGACGATACACTTGGTTTTAATGTAGAATCACAAATAACTGTGCAGCCCTCACTGGTTGTCGAACTGTACTTTAGTGTATCTCCAGTACCTAAGATTATATAGAAAAATCATTAGAATGTTATTTATTTCCATGTAAGTTACATACAAAACAATGAACACATTGTTCCCATTTTTACTTTGTCAACAAAGAAATACATGCGATATACCAGTAAATAGTTTTTAAAAAAGCTGAAAATTGCGAAATGAGAGGAGTAAGGATATTGTCTTACCAGTGGGTTCATCACTGAATACGTTTTGTCGAGTCGTTTGAGTTATCTCAGATCTATCAGGAGTTTTTGTACTGGACGTAGATATACTGGTTATACCTGAAATGCAGTAAACATTTTTATAGACAATATGAATATTTTTTAATATACATAAAAATATAAATCCTAAAGGAAATCATTGGACACTATATACTTTGGGTAAATAGTAACTGAAATATGTGAAGATCAAAACTAATTATTATCAAAGGCAACATTTAAAACAAAAAACATGAGTCGTGTTTGGTCACAGCGAGAACACTGCGAACGTAATGGAAGGTCATTCCTGTTCAACACGTGACCAGGGATAAAATACTTGCAGTAACTTCATATATGTAAAATAATGTACATTTATGTAAAAAAACTATTATGCATGTATAGTGAGGAATTATCGCAATTGTCAACTGCATGTTATCTGGAAATTATCTAATAATTTGCATAATATATGGACTACATAAAACAAAAAAAATCAATTCCGATTCATACATAGTTAAAATTAAACCAACCTGTACATTGTGGTTCAATTCCTGACCATTTACCAGAATCCAGACATTGTTTATGTGGTGTTCCACCACCACTGGGATAGTAACCAGTATTGCAATAATAATATACAGTATTTGGAAAGATATATTCAGTATTCGTGTGATAGGCATTTGGAAATGATGGTGGAATACCACAAGACACAGCTGAGAATACAAAGAAGTTACAGTCAATTTTACACTATGGAATTTATCATTTGTCTTACCTAATACTTGACATCTACAACTACAATCTTCCCTTTATACACCTTCATGGAACAAATCCTAAATTTACACAACACAGAATTCAAGCAATATTCATTGATAAAGCATACGCTAATGTTTTCAATGTTGTATATCAAATCAAGTTGAAAAAAGAACAACTTTATCTCAGTAATTCCATAAACATTGTCTTAGTGTACGCCCTCTGATAAACTAGTAGAGAAAGTCTCATGATACTTTTTCAAGGCATAATTCAGAAACTCACTACTAAAATTAATCAAAGGGCTAAAGGGATCTGCTGCGTGATTCTGGTTGTTTTCCAATTAAATACTGTTATTTTAAAGTTATTGTAAACAGTTAGTAGTTTGTGCAATTCAAAGAAATAAAGAATTGTGATTTTTGTGTGTGCCAAGGTTCCCAAACAATGTACCGCTGTTCAAACAAAGCCTAAAATATGATCTAAAGTTTTTTATGAAGATGATTGCGAGATGGTGTTAGGTTAGTATTCGCTGTAGTCCCCGTACAACAAATAATGTACCATTTACCCTATCATGGACAAAAATCACACTGACTGAAAAGTAGTACAGGCAAATAACATAGCGCAACCTAACCCAACAAATTGTTCGTTGGTAAATATTTCCATTTGACAATTGAAATATTCATTATAAATAACCAAGTTATATGAAGAAACAAACATGGATTCAAATTACTATGTAACTCTAACTGTTGTTTTATAAGCATAGAAATGTATATGTTCTAGTGTTCGTCATATCATCTCACCTGTATACAGTTGTACATCTAAATGTAATGGTATATTTATCATCTCACCTGTACATGTAGGTATACTACTATTCCACTGTCCATCATCTTGACAAGTTATAAACACTTACTCCATTCAATATATAACCCGTTGTACATCTAAATGTAATGTTATATTTATCATCTCACCTGTACATGTAGGTACATTACTATTCCACTGTCCATTATCTTGACATGTTATAACACTTACTCAATTCAATATAT